GTAACATCGATACAACGAAGGGCCAGGGGACTGGCAAAATATGTTCGCTATAACGAGGTTTCGTTGTATCGAGGTTCTTCCATATATTTTACTGTTACTGGAGCGAAGAATGTCGTTCGTTATACCGAGGACTTCGTTATATAAAGGTTCGTAAAATCGAGGTTTCGCTGCATTTATAGTCATTAACGTATCGGAGATGACTAATGTGGCTTGACTGTGACTCAAGTTACCTTTAGAGTACTAACTGTACTCTGTTTGTAATTACAGGCAAATCAACTGAGTCTTTTTTTTTTTCAATCCTACAAGGATTTCATCCTTTTCAAATCACCGTTAAAAAGGACCGTATTTTTCCGTTTCTTTTTTTTGTGTATAAAGAACGAAGATAAAAATCAAAAAAAAAAACATTTGATAGAAAGAAGAATTTTTTTATTCCTAGCAATGAAAGCCTAGTGCAATTCTTCCCCGACTAAAATGAGCTTTTTTGTCTTATAGTCGTTGGTTAGGTAGAGTTGCTTTTAGAAGTTCACAAACATAATTTTAAATACCTCTATAGATTAAACTAAATTAGTTATATTGACACAAATTTATATTTTTGCTCAATAATTTCAACAATAGTAGACAAATTATGGGTGGAGGGTAAGAATTCTCCCAGGATTTATTTTTAGAGCGGTTTTCAATTGAGTGTCGAAAGTAATCCGGCAATTACTTTGGTTTTGGTTTTGCTTTTACGACGGTTGAGATTGGCTGAGTAGTCTATTAGACCAATTTTGATATGTTAAAATTCAGCCTAAAACAATAGAGCTCAACACGAGGCTCTGGGGAATAAACCCCACAAAACTCTGTAGTCACTTCCCAGAGCCTCGTGCTGAGGTGTATTGTCTTAGGCTTGGTTTGGTTTTGGTTTTACGACACCCAATTAGAAACCGCTCTGTTATATGTAGGATAGCAATAAGCCATTAACTGAATCTAGTATATTTTTCCAACCTCAATGATATACTAACATGAAACAGTTTTTTAATGAAATTATATTGGTAGGTAGGAAAAATTTTTAAATATTTTTGGATGGGGTTTTTGTGGAATGTATAGAGCTTAATTTTTTTTTATTATTCACTCAGTAGCTTGAGATGGGTTTGTCCATGTCGTGTGGAATTTCGAGTMAAAACGTCGAGTTGTTATGTTATGCCTCAAAAACATTGCGGTTCGCCTGATTAACCAGATTAAGCTCAACTGATTAACAGTCCCCTGACATCGGGTTAGAACTTATCCGGAGGTTAAAAATTTTAACCGGGGGCGGTTTGTTAACCCACGGGTAAAACTGCGTTGCTCAAAGCCAGGTTTATAGGTCGATTATAGTTAACCTCGGATTAAGAAAGTTACTCCCGGTTAGCATCCCATAAAGCTTTGCTTAATGGCTTACCGTGAAGTCAAATCACCATACAAGAACACGAGAAAGCACAGCTTTATTCCTTCAAAAATTGTATTATTTTTCATGAAAGTGGATCAAGGAGCACTTGCATATTCTCCAAAAAAGTAGGTTAACCTCAAAAACGGAATTGTAAGACTTTAATCTTTTCTTTGCCTGTGAAATCATCGATTATGCATGACCAAATTTCGTGGAAAGCCCCATTTTCAAGACCTTTTTTTGTTTCTACAGTGAAAAACAACCTACTCATTTTGTTACAATTTCCGTCACTTAACCCGAGGTTAGCAAGTTGATCCAGGTTAAATAGAATCCGCTGTTTAACTTACCCTCAAACAACAGAACTACCCTCGGTAAAATCTTACCTTAGCTTAGGATTCCATCCTGTTTTGAACAACCGTTAGGGTTGGCGGTACCCTTCATTGGGTAAGGGTAAAACTATATCAGGTCTATCTTCCATATATTTTAACCAGAAGTTAAAAAAGAACATTTTGACTCTAACTCCAAAATCCATCTCGTACTCGTTTGTTTAATAAACTCATTTGTGACGCGTTTATGCTCGTTAGCTCTTTGTTCTCACCTCCGAAGACAATCGTTCTGTGAGCCAGTTTCAAAACGAGTCTTCGTGCGAAACCATTCCTATGAAAATGTGTTACCCTAAAGGTTTACTTTCATGAAAATCAAACTCATTTTCATTTATAAAATTAGTTTTGAAACTGAGGCACAAGGTAACTCGCAAATGGGCTATTTTGACCCCACAATTTTAGCGAAATAGAAATTATACCCAATTATTACTCCTGGGCCGAGTTGTTCAAAGCCCGATTAAGCTAACCCAGGATTAACGAGGATTTTTATTTGAGTTTGGTGATTTTGCGGTGTGGTTGTCTGTTTATATTGTTTGTCCTTCAGCTTTGAGTTTGAATAATATCAAACTACACGAAACGTAAGAAGTGAAAAACATTTTTGTACAAGAATGAATCAATTCTTCGGTTAACTTTTAATCTTGGGTTAGCGTTGACCGGCTTTCGAACAGCCCGGCCCTGGTCTTGAATAGCAGTTGTTTTAAATGTAGACAACAATGTAGCTTTCCCTTTTGATAACGACAGGCTGTAATTGTTTCGCAATAATACTATGCCGAGTTAAACCAGTAATGTCATGAATTAAACATCCAATCTTCTTGGAACAAGAAAAGTTTAATATCGTATCTCTTAACGAAAGATGTAAATCTTAAACGGGTGGTTTCAAGGTTAAAGATTCTGGTTTACATTTTTCCCCGGAAGGTGATTTCTTCTGTAAATTGTGGATAGGTGTGTGCCGCGAAGGGGTACAATGTACTCCCAAAAAAATTGAGTAAGGGTGTGTCGCCCGCTTCCCAAAACCCTTACCCCATTTATGACCAAAATCTGCTATTTCTCGTACCATATTTATGGCCTGACCAAAAATGCGATACCCTATTTATGACTGTTGTGGCTAACACAGTTGCCCTGAACAAAATTTCTGAAGGGCCTTTGTTGATGGTCTCATCGATAATGATGAAAAGATAGCTTCTTCTAAAAAACATACTTAACTCAAGACTGGAGTGCAAAAAACACACCCTATTTATAAAGAAAATGGCCAAAATCGATATCCTGTTTATGACCAAAACGGCTGAAAAACCATACCCTTTGGGGCCGCACATACCTATATATATAGCCCATGTAACAGAGTACCGGGGGAAGGGTATAGCGTACATCCAACCCGACTGTCCTGTGTTGCGACATAGGATACTATGTCGCTGTGTCGCTAGTGTGATGACTGCGCCTAACTGAGCGCGTTAAAGCTTACATCAGATTAGTCATTGCTTCTTGCCTTTCTTAGTCAATGCTCTGTCTGTAACTGGTACTTTTACTACTTATATTTCTTTTTATATTTATGTTTATATTTTTTTTCTTTCTACCTCTTCCTTTCTTTATTTTTCCTACAACCGATTTAAAGCGTAATAATTCTTGTAACTACTCAGTTCGTTTAGCTCTTACTATTTTGAGTGGTTTTTTTGTTTATTTAAGTTTAATGTATTCTGTTGCTGCATGATATTCTCTGTATTAAGCGACATAAAATGGTTGTTGTCTTTGACCATGCCGGAATGTCTGGGACCTAGCTCGGTACGAACATTTGAGGAACCAACAAGACAATGCGGTAGAGGAAGCAGTGAAGGCCTCAGTTATATTGGGATATAAGAGGTCAACGCCGAAAATTGCTATGAGGTGACAATCGATTCGCCCCATTGTTATATCACACACCACTAGGCAGTACCTTTGACTCGGTGAACGGACGTTCTATTGTTAAGCCAAAATATTACGACTAGAACTTGAGAAATCAGACTGAATGTTGATACTTAATTCAATGGTGACTGTTATTGAATCATGCAATCATGCACTAAGCTGGCAGCAGAGTTTGTCTGTTTACAAGGGTCACGTGATCGAAATGAATCCTATTAAGATGACTGGACACTAGTTTTAGATCCTATGGATGAGAAGATTGGGTGCTAGTTGGCTTGTGCGAGTGGATTTTCTACCTCCTTCATGTTGGCCGCTTCGCTTTTGTGTACCATTTATCGGTTTTAAGATACTTGTTTTGTATTTTCCTAACTTTCAGATGCCAAGGTAGGTTTTATTTCTTTTATAGCTTGTTGTCTGTTTGAATGTATCGAAAATCTATCTTCGTATCCTTCGTAATTTCGTATTTAAGCTTATACTTAATTGCATGTCTGTTATTATTTATCGAAAATCGAGCTTCCTAATTTCGCCTAGGCTTTGAAAATGTTGATTGCAGTTGTATTGATTTTCATCATGATTCCTTCAGGTGTCCATATCGGGAGTTAGTTTGCTCGCACAAGCCAACATATCAAGACTCGGTCAACTCGGTTTGTGGTTAGTGCAGGTTGCACGAGGGCTGGTGCGCTTTCGCAAGCTAAAATTTATCGGCCTGAATGTTGGGCGCGGGTTGCCCTATACCTGAAAGGAGTCATTGCCGATGATGCATTGTACTTGCGCAAGCCAATATCTTGCTAGCCAACATTTATATGGGCTTGAACTGATTGATGTAGGCAGCGCTTCAAAGTAAGACATATTGTCAGGGATTGTCAGCGAGCTTCAGAGATTGTCAGAAACTCACAGAAACTGGAAAAGACTGCCTTGCACTTGCATTGTCCTTGCATTGTTAGAAATACACTTGAACAGTGTTATAACAGTCACCCTGTTGTTGTGTTTTTCAAGATCAAGTTAGTATGCGAATCTCAGCTGAACAATAGCGGTCAAGGATCGGCTTTCAAAACCATTTCGTAAATGCAAAGGATGCCTTATCGCGTTTTAAGGATCATTTCTGGAATATGATGCGCGTGGCGCCAATTACGGACAACGACGTCGTATTGTGGAAA